TTAGATGGATTGGGATTATCAACTGGCTTTCCTTGAAGTTTTGAAGTCTGACCAGCGGAGTAGTTAGCTCTTTGTGGTTCTGAAGTTTCACCAGCAGGCTCTTGACTTGCCTATAATATCAAAAAGAAGAAGTTATTAAGTGTTAGTAATAAAGAAGAGCCTATGTCATGCATAAGAAGATTGTATCTTGTAAAATTTAGAATTTGTATGGATTAGATTCTTGCAACTTCTTGAATTGTGTCCAGGTTTGAAGCAGTTTTTGCAATGCACAATAAGTCCTTTCCTGGTTGATATTTGTCCCTTCTTTAGTTCATCAAGTGCACTCCTCTACACCTTTTTGGGCCTTCTAGGTATCTTTCTTATCAGTAGAGGATTAGTAATTGACTGTTCATTGGACTTATCCCAATACCTTACACTTGGTACAGGCATAACTACATGCCTATATATCTTTACATAAGTCTTTTTGCTGTAGCAATTGTGGACAAAATCAGCAATTAGTCTTTTACGTGCTTATATTGCTGCACATGCATGGACACATGGATAACCTGTTAATTGAAATAACCTATATGTATAGGTCCAATCCTCTTGGTATACCACTACAATTTTGTTACTACCAACATCAACTTCATATTTCCAGCCATCAACCTATATAGCAACACATGTTGTATTCAATCTTACATTTTTCTCAATATTCTCATGGATGTTTGGGCATATTTTACCTTGAAATTTTTTCATCTTAGTCCTCATTACCTAGAATCGTTGCATTAATCTTCTTTTAATCCATTTGAACATCCCAACCATAGCCAACTCTCTTGTCGAAAGTGTGAGGACTCGCAAATTTCTTATATTTTTCTCAAAAATGCCTTTTTATTTAGAAATTATTCCTTTATTATAGCCCTACTACCTAATCATTCTCCAATAAGTGCAAATGAACCTAGCAAGTAGGGTTTCACTCTTCGTTTTCAAAATTGGAGCAAATTAGGGTTTTCGCGATTTTCGCCGGATGATTTTTCGGTACGGAGCAAGGATCAAATTTGGTGATTAAAGTGACTTTTAAGTGAGAAATAATATGTGATTAGGAGCAATGATATAAGGTTAGTGAATAGGAAGTAAAAACCCTAGTACGGGTGTTTTAAAGAAAAACGACGTGTACCGCACACTACCGATTGAACACACCACTGGACCACTACTTTCTTACCACATGAGCTCATTGATATTTGAGCAAAATATCCCTTCATTTCCAGCTGCCTTTGACCGAAATTTGTGGCAAAAAATGTAAGGGACAGAGAGAAAAATTTGCATGGCTTTGGTGGCGCCAAGATAAACCCTAGTTGAAATTTTCACTACACTACCAAAAACTAGAAAATTATCCATCAGATGCCAAGATTAAAAGCTTCTATAGCATATTTAGCTAGATTAAGAAAGATAAAAGGGAGTTTTAGACTTATACCTTCCAAAACTCTTGAAGAAAGTGAAGAACAAAAGCTTTCCTCTCCAAACAACTCCATAACAAGCTTCCTTAGTACCAAGGTGAAGGTTTAATCGGTTTAGTTTTTGAGATTTTAACTCAAACAAGGAAGAATCAAGGTTGGAATTGAAGTTTTCTCCTCTCCTTTTTTCTCTCCAAAGTCATGGCCAAGATGAAGGAAAAATGAAGAAAAATGATCCAAGAAAAAAGATAAGAAGGAAAGAAACTAGCTTGGTCAAACTTTCATGGATTGCCAAAAGTGTCGCACCAAGATGGCTTCTTTTTTTTTTTCTTTTCTCCCTTTTCTTTGGTCCAAAATTTCGGATACTTTAGGGGATATTTTAGGGCTGATTAGCTCAAATAAAAATAAGAGGATTAGGGCAAGAAAGTAGTGGTTAAATGGTGTATTCGATCGGTAGCAAACGGTGCACGTCGGTTCAAACCGATTTTCCTTAACTCTCTCGTACTTGTGTTTTAACCTGTGATTCACTCACTTATTATTAGCACTTCTAATCACACACTTTCTCCTACCTAATACTCACTCTTACCCACCAAATTTAGTGCACACTCCTTACCAATTAATCACACTACCAAAATACGCAAAAACTTTAGTTTACCCTATCTATAAAAGTAAAGATAAAACTCTTGATTCTATTATTTATTCCAACTAGTGAGGGAGTAATTTAGTAGTAAAGATATTATAAAGTAAATTACTCAAAATAAAAGGGTATTATAAGAAAATATGAAGAATTTTACAAGTCCTCACGATCACTTGTTAACTTCCTCTTTCCTCTCATCCTAGGCTTTCCTTGTTCATTTGTGATATCAGCCAGAGGCTTTTTTGTGATGCATGACCTCCTCCTTGGCTGTACTCCTCCCCTTTCATCTCTATCCTGCTCTTTCACCTTATTCCTTTGGTTTTCCTCAACCCTTTGTCCCTCATTTTTGTTCAACCCACTTTCCTTTTCACATTCATCCGTGTCCATCACTTGGAGTATTTCAAGTACTTTTTGTTTTCATTTTCTTTTTGTTCCTTTTGTTCTATGTCTCCCTTATTCATTCTCAGACTTTGTACCTTCATACCTTTACTGACTCCCTCTTCCCTCTCTACTCCCTCAATTTTTTTTTATTTTTTCTCCCTCTTCCTTTGAATTTTTCTCCTCTTTCTGCTCCATACTCCTTTCATTTTTCCTCATTTCCTCTTCTCTACTCTCTTGATTTATATCTATCCTACTTTTCTGGACCCTCACCCCTACTCCCTCTTGTAGCATAATCTCTTTTTGCTTCTGTGCTTCTACCCTCCCTACTATGCCTCCTTCTGATGTTCTGCTGGCCCTAAGAGGAGAAGCCATGATGTTCCGTGCTCTCATCCATGCCCCAAATTGTTCTTCTCTCTGGTTATGCTCTTTTTTCACACTTGTTTTGCATGTTTTATCTCCATGCCTTTTTATTCCACATTTGTAGCAGAAATTTGGGCATTTTTCATATCTAAACTCAACCCAGATTGGGTCTCCATTGAATTTGATAGTGGTGCCTCTCCCAATGGTAGTGATATATCAATTTCTGCCAGTAGTTTCATATGCCTCCCCTCCTTTCCTCCTCCTAGTGTGATGATAACTTCTTTCACTACGGAGAACATTTGTCTGATCTTAAAGCCCACTGCTTTCCTCAACCAGTGGATTGGGAGGTTCCACACTTGGATCCAAATGTGAGATATATGGAAGGCTCCTCTCTATACCTGGTGCCCATGGCTTTATAACTAGTAACTGGTTATCAATAACCCATGGCCTTCCATTCAGAGCTTTCTCCTTGTCTTTTTCTTCTTCAAAGTTAAACTGGAAGACATTTGGGACTAGTTCAATAACCTACAAGTTTCTGGGGTAGCCCACACGTGTGATGCATAGTTTTTTACCCCTGTAAAATTTGCAACTTTCTCTCCAATGATTCTTCCTACCAAGCTCAACTTACATTCCTCAACTCCAGCTAGCACATCCTCTATCGCCAGATCTATTCCTTCCATTTCTTTGTTGCTTAGATCAAACCTTTGGAATGCCTTTGTAAGGGTCTCCGCCATACTGCAGTGCTTCTCAATGGTGCCTGTATCAATTGCAACTGCTAGGATCAGGTTTGTCTACTTCTTGGGAGTATTAGAGTCAGATCAACCTGAGTTAACCACGAGGAAACACAATTGAAACGGAATAAATACAAAAACAAGGAAAGAGTATAAAGCCCAGAAAACAAAAGTTAAAACTTCTAAACAAGTGGAGTTAAGCTGCTTTTATGACCCCATGACCAACAATACCAATGCTTCCTGAGTTCAATAATGGGGACAGAGTTAAGCTTGCATCCCGCTGCTAAGACAACCTCCACTATAACTTTAGAGCTGATACTAGTTGTTTGGTAGTTTGCTAAAAGATTTGTGTATTTTGTGCTTTGGATCACTTGGACATATTGGATTGGCGGCTTTTGGACACGGTTTTGGAGCCTGTGTTTTGAAATTTGGAGTGTTTGATTTTGAAGTTTTGAATTTTGGAAAGTTTGAAACTTTTTGGCTCCCACACTGGAGAGAGGAGTCTCTACTAGAGAGAGATCTCATTTTAGAGAGTGGTGCCCATTGTTGTTGTGTTATACTTTTATCCAGTCTATCTAATTGTGTAAATCTTACAGTATTTGGTGAATTCTTGTGACTAATCCTGGAATGCATCATAGTTGTATGAATTTATGCAAAAGTTGTACGAATTACAATAATTGGACAGAATTGGACAAAATTAACTGGACAGGCCTCTATTCCTCATTTAGGGGTTAATAATGGAATAGCAAATTACATCAGTTTGATTTTGTTAATTACAAAAGGCTAAATTCTATTTTAGACACTTAAATTATAAACACACTCTCATTTTAGTCCTTAAATTTTAATATTAGACACTTTCCTCCCTAAAATATGAAATCCTTCCTATTTTAGTACTTCAATTTTGGACATTTTATCCCATAAAGTATAAAATCTATCCCACAAAATTATGTTGAGATATGCCAACTTTTCCTACTGATTTTATCATATTGGGTTTGATATCAAAATAATTTAGTTATTAAAAATAAGGATATTTGTTAACCAAAGATCATGTTGGTTTGTTAACAAATATATTAGCTAAGATTTGCTAGTAGTAGAAGATTATATTTTTGTTGAGATTTTTAGGATAATTATTAGTTGAATATTTTGCTAGTTTGTTTCATGTAATCACTATAAATAGTGAGTTGATGAATGTAGAACATAAGCTCATTTTTTGCCTTCAATACAAGTCTCTTATAAGTTTTTTTTGCAACACTAGGGTGTTGTTTCTTAGTTTATGCCCCAAAAAACTAATAAAATGGTATCAGAGCCTAAATCTTAAGGGCCTGTTTCTTTGAGAGTGAGTGAATCTGGTGAGAATTCCTTTTTCACACTTAAGTCCTCAACATCAAAATGCTAAGAAACAACTTCTTATCCAATCCTCCAAGTTTTACTGGTGAAAATTACCAAGTCTGGGCTGTCAAAATGAAGTCATACTTGGATGCTAATGATCTTTGGGATGTGGTAGAGATAGATCCTGTTCCTGAATTGTCAGAAGATCCAACTATTGCAGAGATGAGAGCCCATAGAGATGCAGTCAAAAGGAGGTCAAAAGCCATGACTTGCATTCATTCAGCAGTTTCCGATGCAGTATTCACAAAAATTATGACTTGTGAAACTGCAAAAGAAGCTTGGAATGCTCTCAAAGTGGCTTTTCAAGGCAATAATAGAACAAGACAGATTCAAGTTTTGAACCTTAGGAGAGAATTTGAACTCCTTAGGATGAAAGACAAAGAAAACATTAAAGAGTATTCTGACAGACTCTTAAATATTGTGAACAAAATCAGATTAATTGGAGAATAACTTCCAGATAGCAGAGTTGTGGAGAAAGTCTTGGTGAGTTTACCAGAAAGGTTTGAAGTCAAGATTTCCTCTCTTGAAGATTCAAGAGATCTCTCTCGAATGACCTTGCCAGAATTGATCAATGCTCTAGAGGCACAAGAACAAAGACGAGCAATAAGAAGTGAAGAAGTCATTGAATGTGCTTTTCAAGCAATAAACAAGGATCAAATTCGACAAGGTGAAAGAAATTGTCAAGAAAAAATAGCAAAGATGAGAAGAAAAATGGCAGAAATCCTCCGTGTCCACACTGTAAGAAAACCTCACATCTTTCATTATATTGTTGGTTTAGATCTGACATTCAATGTAGGTTTTATAAGCAAATGGGACATATGGAGAGAGTTTGCAAAAATAAAGGAAAAAGAGAACATCACGTTCAGATGGTTGATGAACAAGATGAGGAGCAACTTTTCATGGCCACATGTTTTGCAAGCAATAATTTCAATACTGAAACTTGGCTAATAGACAGTGGTTGCACTCATCACATGGCATATGATGAATCTATATTTAGGAAACTTGATAAATCGCAAATCTCCAAAGTCAGAATTGGAAATGGAGATTATATTGAGGTGAAAGGCAAAGGTAGTGTTGCTATTGATTATGGTTCAGGTACGAAAATTATTTCTAATGTTTTGTATGTACCTAAAATTAATCAAAATCTATTAAGTGTTGGACAGTTATTGGAAAAGAATTATTCTATCATCTTCAAAAATAGGACTTGTATTATACATGATCCAGCTGGGAATGAACTTTTCTCAGTAAAAATAAGAGGCAAAAATTTTGCTTTGAATTTGTCAGAAATTGACAATTCTAAAGTGTGACGGCCCCACCTTCTCCTAGGGTCTACTCTAGAAGTTAGCGAATCGTCTGCCTGACTCTCGCCAGAACTCACTCACTTACATTAACTTCAAAGATAACATTACTATTGAACAACTGAACATTCACTCTTAAGTACATCTCCAATCAGTTTGAAACATAAATTTGTCCAATAAAAGAAACAAAATACCTGTTCTAAATATCCATTCTTAATATCACACCAACTCAAACAAAAATTCAACCGTTTCAAAATTCAACAGAGACCATGCCTACACTATATACACAGAATAATGGATCTTCCCAAAATAACTTTCTAGTTCAATCCAATCACTCTTCAATCTTTGACTCCTGTAAGGAAAACAAAACTAAAAGGGTGAGCTTACGCCCGTGAGGTTTCCATGCAAGTAACATTTAATAATCACATGAATCAATACAATTAAATAAATAGTGCACATTTCACTGTACAATCACTTTCATTAGCAATTGAGGAAACACTTCACTGAACAATCACTTTTAAAAGGATACGGTGCTCGCATTAGAGCCACTTCAATGCACTACACACTCCGCCGAACTCCTCCTTATAACCTCCAAAACAATAAACACTTCCCTCACTTGGATGGCCATATCAATATCAGTAATCTAGTACACCGTGGTAATACTCAAGCATACCAAAACACTTACCCAAACCTACCGTCCTACCGACCAAGCCCTTTGCTGGCTCGAATAGTCCGTTGAACAGAGGGTTTTGGGGCCCAGTTCAGCCGGCGTGATAAAGTACACACACGGCTTACAGTCATGCACACTTACAATATCACTTGATCAATTATCAATCTTCAAGTTCAACTAAGTCAAGTGCGATAAAGTACACCCTCGACTTAGAAGACGAGGGACAATTGAGATACGCTTCCAATGAATCACTTAGCAATATTTCATAATAAGCACATTTGCCATATAATTGCACTTAGGTACACATAAGCAGTTTAACACATAAATTCAGAAAACACTCACCAAATATCCAAATAAATTACTCTCGAGTCTCGAGTCGATTTTCTGGTTCACAGCTACTTCCTGGACAAGTTAATAATTCCAAATCAAATACATAGTTTGTAGATGTTCACTTATTGTTCTTACTTTATCACTTGAACTATTAAAATCAAGTTTGACTTTAAAGTACAAATATAATATATTCAATATTCATTTTTCATTTTATTTTGAAACTTATTGACTTTATTGTTTTAATCAAGAATTATACCTGTTTTCCCAAGTTAATAATTTATAAGATATTTATTCTAGAATTAAATCATTTTCCACTCAAGATTCTAAGATTATGGCTTAGGAGCACTCTATTGGTCGCCTTTTTAATTAATTAAACTCTAGATTGTTTGTAAATTAAATTTTATTCCAGTACACCAGTCCCTCAAATTTTATAGTCTTTAAATTATTTGTAAAGGCAGTATTAAGTAATTAGAAGCCAATTTAATTATCATGAGTTTTCCTCTCATTTACTTTAGTTTAACTCTACTTGTGGAGCTATATATAGCCATTAAATCTCAGACTAACCGTAACTATCATTTATGAAAGCTTACAAAGTTGAAAATTAGAGGAAATGCTGGTTAAAAGTTGGTTCCTCACAGTTAGCATCTTAGCAAAGTGCATTCGGGAACAAAAAGAAAGGCAGCTTTGCCATCCTCGGGTGTTTTGATCATAATTGGAGTTACGCTTATCGGATTGAGGCGAATTTTATAGCGTTTCGAAGCTAAAACCTAGACCTACATTTCCTATGAAGACATCGACATCCAGTTATCGCGTTTTCAAGGCCAAATTCCGCTTTAAGTTTGGATTGCTGCCCTATTTATTCTTGTGATTTATTCTGGATTTGATTAAGGAACGACTGAGTCCCGGCGAGAGCCGGGCAGGCGACTCGCCAAACCCTTTGGTTCGCCTTAAGGGGAGGTGGGGCCGTGACAGAAAGAATGTAATTATAAAATGACTTGTTTAAATTGTTAACCAATATGTCACACTTACTTCTTCCACTGAAGTGTGATCTGGTCCACAGAGTTAGTGGACATTTTGAAAGCCATGTTGATGCTTGTGAGTCAACTTTTTCCATGTCTTTCAGTGTCACATGCTAGTCTGCCTCATTCTAGCACTTGCACATGCCCAAAATAAGTCCTTCAACTCTTTCCTGTGAATTTTTAGCTCAAGTTTTGATACATATGTCTTATGCAGAACCTATGCTCAGACTCAGAAAAAAAACTCTCTAAGAGGTTGAACTAGTCCTTTTTGTTGATCTGGAATGAAGGTCTAAGGTATGTTGTCCATCCCTAATCCTAAATTATCTAGCAAAAGCTGTAGGAACCACCTCCATGAGTCATACCTTTCAACTTCAACAACAGCCAATGCTATTGGGATCATATTATCATTACCATCTCTCCCTAAGGCAGATAATAATTGGCCACCAAATGTACTCTTTACAAAGCACCTATCTAGACCAATAATTGGTCTACGTCCGCCAAGAAATCCCTGCTTGCAAGCATGAAGACAGAAGTAAATTTTTTCAAATATATCTCTAGATGCTGCATTAGGTTTGTCAATTTGAACTTTGCTATGCTACCAGGATTATACTCCACGATCATGGCTGCATAATGCCATAGATTATGATACTGCTCTATGTCTAATCCCTGTATATCTTCTCTTGCCTTCCTCTTCGCTCTATACAGCTTAGATGAAGTGATATTAACCATCAAATCCCTTTTAACCTCATTCTGAAAGCCAATTAAGTTGCACGTACGATCATCCCTAATCTTAAATTGATATCGTTGGCTAAAGTACCTTGATGTAACATGTTTGTTGTTGTACTCTCTACCACAAATGTGCGTACTCTTCAAAGTCTTGATCTGGAAGGTACTAGTCACTTGAACTTTTGATGCATGGATCCTCCATGAGCAACCTCTCTCACACTCAACTGTAATTCGATAAGATTCATTTCTGATCCACTTCATTTCATACCTCTCTCTCATATTCCATTCCAACAAAGCCATCCTGAATAATCTAAAATTTTTGAACCTTTAGTCCACTTTTAGTTCAAAATGAGGATTCTTAAACCCAAATTTTGGATTCAAATCAAGATATTCTTCAGGCTTCTCGCCATCGAAATTAGTCCTCTCCAGTAGCTCCTCATTTGGGATTGCAGGTTCATTCCAATTGGCTTCTAATCCAATTTCACTATTTAGTGCTTCAAAGTCTTCTTTGGGCTATTGTTGTACATGATTTCCACTGTCCTACAAGTGTGAACGTGTAGAGTAGTAATTTGCTAATGTTTCCCTCTCCTGAATAGTAGGCTAGTCTCCTGCAGTTAATTTTTTTTGGACTTTTGACATCACCATTCAGAGTAAACAAATGCAACTTTGACTTAGCAGCCTCTTTCTTAGATGCATTCACAGCAAAAATGTCTTCATCCTCGCCGCTCTCAAGCCCTTCATCTAACCAATCAAGCTCAATATTTTTTGATTTACCTACTTTGTCCACAACACTTAGTTTTGGTGTCCACATCTAGTCCAGCTATACCTTTGCAGCTCTATTATCCGCAATTTCTTCACATGTGTGGTTAGCATTTGCACCATCTTTTTGCAACATGTTGACCCCATCACTATGTTGGAGAGGCTCTTCAAATGTTTGGTTCCCACTTACAATTATATATCACCCTCACAGGAAGATGCAAATGTGCATCATTCATCAATTTAATGGTCATCTTCCCTGTTATTGGCAGCAATCGAGTCTCCATGTTCAAATCTAATACATACCACCAAAAATTGACCCTGGTTGCATCCTTCTCAATTAACTTGAACATTCTACATAGTCCAACTATGGACAGTTCACTTGGAGCTCTATCCTTCCATATAGCTAGCCTGTAATCTCTTACATAGGCTATGCTTGGCACACTTCTAAAAATCCCACTAAAGTACAAGTGTATTTCAACCATTTCTTTTTCCTTTGCTTATGTGTTGTCTTCGGTTAACCAGACAAATGCAAATATATATATATATATATATATATATAGTATAGATATATAAAAAATAAGTTGTCTATACTTTACGTTAAAAAAGCAAACATGATAACGATGTATGTTCACTACAACTACTCACAAGAACCTGACCCTATCTAGACCACTAAATTGCCAACAATAATAATAATCTAACCACAATCATGACGGTGATCTAAACCATTATAAAATTAAAATTTTCGTAAAGTTCATATCTTTTCAACAGCTAGGATTTATCAACCTTTTTCTAACAAATTGGCTTTATCATAAAAGTCATATACATCTAGATCTAGAAAAATTCACTTCAATATATACAAACAAATGGATCTAGGTGTTTATTCACACTTTTATCCAAATTATTCGAACAAATTAAGATATCAAAGAAATTGAAAACATCAATCGTAACAATCACAATACATCTTAGTCTACAAAAAATCACTTCAATACATAGCAGCGTACAAACAAGGTGTTTATCCACATTATTATCCAAATTATTTCCCTAAACTAAGAGATCATAAAAATAGGAAGCATTCGAAGCTTAGAAACTTACCCATCCTACTACGGGTCTTCTTCTGAGTCTTCAATATGATGCAGTTGATGTCTTGTGCTTGCAATTGACATCCTATTCTGCTAGAAATCTTCACCAATTGTTGAGAAATTTTTGCAAATAACTGATTGTGTCTTCCTAGGGTTTCCAAAGCTTTGCTTCTCTCTCTTTCTCTCTTACATCTCTTTTTTTTGAATTCTCAAAATGACGAAATATTCTTCTAATGTTTTCATTTATAGAGGAGCAATTTTGATATGTTCCATTTAAACGTTAGTTTAGATGTTTTCCGTTAGACTTTCACTTTAACTGAAATGATAAGGAGTTAAATTGTATATTTTCAAACCAGAAAGAGATAAATTATACATTAGGCAAGCCACAGGAGGGATTTTTGGTATTTTACCCGAAATAAAATGATAAGACTTTGCCAGGATCAAAGTAACCACTTTTACACATGAAAAGTTCCCACAATAAATCTAGAGCATTCTAAACCTTGCCAAGATCCGCTTACAGCTCCAATTCTATGACCAAGCCTTAAAGCATTCGCATGTTGATCCTCCCTCCATAGGAGCAAATACAAAGTGCATATCCTATTCTCAAGTAGTGCCTTTTCTGGACATGAATTGACTTGGATCTAGCTAGATCCAAAGCCAGATACACATGTTGATTCTTACTCCGTTTTAACACTTATTACCATATCTCATTTATACATTTCTCAAAACTCATTTGTAAGTTTTCATGTTTTATTTGTACACTCGAGTCACAATTGTACATTTACATATTTCATGTTTGGCTTGGTCCTCCTCATTTGGTGGCCCACAAACCAAAGCCCATCAATTGATCAAGTCAACTTGACTTGAAGCAAACCTAGTGAATAGTCTCTTGACTAGTGTTAGAGCCATGTTTTTTTTCCTTTTTAGAAACAAGAAAAATCTTTAGTCGCTACTTTACGTTCTTGAGAGAAACAAAGAAAAAGAAAATTAGGGAGAGAAACTAGAGAGAAAAATAACTTCAATATCTTGATCGAATGGTGATTTGAAACCTGATTGAAATGACAATTTAGCCACGCGTCCCTCTTGTCAAGATCTACTCATCTGTTGGTTTGGATTTTGAATTTTCTCTTCATTTGATAACATCCTTCCAAATTCACTTCTTTGACAGTTGTAGTTTTTGGGGGATAATTTTGTAGCAATTTTGCTTGGTTGATAATGATAATGTTGTTGTCATCTGGATGTTCTGGCTAAACTTATGTATTTTCAATACTGTTATAGTGAAGATTTTTTATTGAACAAGACCCCGTGATTTTTTTCAGTTTGAGTTTTTCACATTAAAAATCTTGGTGTCCTGCACCTTTTATTTTACTATATTTTATTATTACTGTTGATATCATTACTTGATAATTTGGTTTGTTCCTATTTTAACTAGTACTTGAGAAAAGAGTAATTTATCCTGTGTTAACTCTGATATTGTGTGCATGCACTGATACTCCTTTTCCAATAAAGTGGTATCAAAACCGCCAGATTGGTTGCTCATTTGTACTGATTAAAATGGATGATTCAGATAGTGATTGCATGATAAAATTGAATGCAACTTCTATTGCAAAGTGAAAGACTACTTGTATTGCAGAAATTTGTTTGACTCTATTTTAGATAATAAGAATAGATCAAGTAATATGAGTGATGAAAAAATGGGTTGTTATGCACAGAAAACTTTGATAATATTAGAAAGTGGATTAATTAGAGTAATTTTAAATACTTTGCTAATGAAATTAGAACTGATGTACTATGAAAAGTTAGAAAGTATGTATGAAAGAAAGATCAGTTTAAATAAAGTCTCTGATTTGAAACAGATTATTCAGATGACATACAAAGATGGTGCAAATATAATTGAGCATCTAAGTAATTTTTAGGGTTTAATAAACCAAGCAACTACATTAAACTTTAACTTAGATAATGAGCTATAGGCTTTGCTATTGTTCAGTTCACTGTTAGATAACTAGAAGGCAATGGCAGTTTCTGTTAGTAATTTAGTTTCGAACGATGTGTTGACCATGTGTATGGCAAAGAGGCTACTAGGAATGAAAAATTCAGAAAGAAGGAACAAGAAATTGTAAATGAATCCCAAACCTTAGTGATAGAAAAGAAACAAAGAAAGGGGAGAAGTAAAAATAGAGGACCCTATAATAGGAATAACAAATCTAGAGGTAGGTTTAAGTTACAAAAAAATGATGCATGCTTTTATTGCAAAAAAAAGGGACATTATATGAAGGAGTGTAGAATCTTAAAATAGAAACAAGTTGATAAAAAAGAAAAAGGCAAGACGAAAGAAAAAGATGATGAAGAGACTATAGTAATTGTAGCAACTCATGATGATATATTTGTGTTTTGTGATGATGGTCACGTGAATATTACCTATCATGATAGTGATATGATAGTTAATTCAAGTGTATTTTACCATGTTATTTTTCAAAGGCATTTCTTTTCAACCTACACTAAAGGAAACCTTGGCTATATTAGGATGAAAAATGAGATTTCGTGCAGAGTTATTGGCATGGGAGACATATATTTGGACACAGATACCGAGTGCCAACTAATCTTGAGAATGCTCGATATGTTTCTGATATTCGCCTTCATCTTGTTTCTACAGAAAAACTTGATGATGAGGGTTATCATAGTTTAAAGGTGGAGGCAAATGAAAACTCAGCAAAAAAAAATCTCATTATTGCCAGAGGAAAGAAATAATGTACCATCTATTTGATATAAGTCAAACTGGAAAGGGAGAAATGAATGTAGTTCATGATTCCCCCATTAACCTTTGACATAGGCGATTTTTACACATGAATGAAAAAAGAATTCAAACACTTGTTTACAAGCAACTCCTATATAAAGTTAGAGGTAATGCACTCAAACCATATGTTGAATGTATTTATGGAAAACAACATAGAGTTGCATTTTAAATTTTTTTTATCTAGAAAATTAAATCCATTAGAGTTGGTGCATACTGATGTTTACTATACGAAAGATAGGTCTCTTGGTGTGCTATTTATTTTATTATTTTTATTGATAACTTTGTTAAAAAAGTTTGATGTTTTGTTTTGAAATTCAAAGATTGGGTTTTGGATGTGTTTAAAGATTTTTATTGCAAAGTTGAGAGGGAGATTGGCAAACAGTTAAAGTGTGTTTGTGGTAACAATGGTGGTGAGTATAAGAGACCATTTGAAAGCTACTGCAAGTCCCATGGAATTAGACTAGAAAAAATAGTGTCAAAAACTCCTCAAGAGAATAGAGGTGTAGAGAAAATGAATGGATCCATTACTAAGTAAGTCAGATATATACTCTCCAACGCTAAACTACCAAAATCCTTTTGGGCTGTAGCAATGAGGACTGTATTTGATTTGATTAATCTCTCTATTAGTTCTTTTAGATGGTGATATCCTAGAGAAAGTATGGACAGGGAAAAATGTGTCCTTTAAACATTTGAGAGTTTTTGGTTGCCAGATATTTGTTCATATTTTCAAAAATGAAAGGTCAAAACTTGATGTGAAATCAAAGTAGTGTATTTTCATAGGCAATGAGCATGAAGATTTTGGCTATAGACTGTATGATTCTATCAAAAAGAACATGATCAGAAACAGAGATGTTGTCTTCCTTAAAAATCAAACCATTGAGACATTGATAAAGATGACAAACTAAGATTCTCAAATGACATTCCTATTAATTCAGATCCAAATCCAATTCCAATACCAGTTGATTCAAATCATGGGGGAGTTGAGATAGAACAGAGAGAGGCTATTGATAGTAATAATACTGCTATTGATGAATTTGAACAAGAGACACCACTAGCTCCATCACCACCACAAGATGTGTCTAGGAGATCTATTAGAGAGAGAAGACCTTCTAATAAATATAATCTTAATGAATATGTGTTTCTGACAGATGGAGGGGAACCAAAATTCTACAATGAGACTGGTTACAAGATATGCATGAGAGAAAAAAAGACCGGTTACAAGATATGCAAAAGAAGTTGATATTCTTACATAAGAATTACACCTATGATCTGGTGAAACTGCCTAAGGGCAAGAGAGCATTGAAAAATAAATAGGTTTACAGGTTGAAAACTTAATAGCATAGCTCACAGGCAAGATTGGTTGTGAAAGGGTTCAATCGGAAGAAAGGTATAGATTTTGAAAAAATTTTCTCTCATATGGTAAAGATGTCATGAATCCAAGTTGTTGTTGGTATTGCAGCCAACTTGAATTTGAAGATTGAGCAATTTGACGTGAAGACAGGCTCTTATATGGTGATTTGGAAAAAGAAATTTATATTGAGCAACTAGGGGGGTTCAAAGAAAGTGGCAAAGAGAACCTTGTATGTCTTCTAAGAAAGAATTTGTATGAATTGAAACAAGTGCAAAGGCAGTGATACAAGAAGTTTGACTCATTCATGATGGATCACGAGTACCACATGATTACATCTGATCATTATGTCTTCATCAAGAATTTTTCTAATAGTGATTTTATTATTCTCTTACTGTATATTGATGACATGTTGATTGTTAGCCATGATGCTATGAAGATTCATAGGTTAAAAAAGGAATTAAGTAAACCCTTAGCTGTGACGACTTAAAAATTCACCTATATTTTTGTTGTAATTCCCTCTTATTTTAAATAATTTAATTTATAAATTCCTTTTTCTATAAATTTTACTCTCTCGATAGGTGTAATATATGCTGGAATCGAGAGTTTACCTTTACTTTTATAGTTAGCGTAAATTAGGGTTTTTGTGCATTTTGGCCGTATGATCACTTGGTGAGATATGTGTACTAAATTTGGTAGATAAAAGTGAGTATTACATAAGAGGAAGTGTGTGATTAGAAATGCTAATAATAAGTTAGTGAATCATAAGTTAAAACACAAGTACAAGAGAATTAAGGAAAATAGGATTGAACCGACATGTACCGTTTGCTATCGATTAAGTACACCACTTGACCACTACTTTCTTACCATAATCTCCTTGCTTTTATTTCACCTAATCTTCCCTAAATTAACCCTTAAGTCAGCCACCATTATTGACTAAAGAAAAGGAAGAAAAGAAACAAAAACAAAGAAAAGATCTTAAAATGACAAGTGTTGGAAATCCATGGAAGTTTGACCAAGACATTTTCCTTTTTTCTTATCTTTCCTTTTGGCTCATTTTTCTTCATTTTCCTTCATGTTGGTCAAAATTCTTGGAGAGAAAAACAAGAGAGGAGAAACTTTTCATTTCCACCTGGATCTTGCTTGTTTGAGTTGAAACCAAAAAACTAAATCAATTAAACCTTCATTTTGGTGCTTAAGTAGCTTAGGAAGCTTGGTGTGGTGAAAATTTTGGAAGAAATAGCTTGGTTCTTCACTTAGCAACAAGTATTGGAAGGTATAAGATGATCCACTGCCTCTATCTTTCTTAATCTTACTAAATATGCTATAAAAGCTTTTAATCTTGGCATATGATGGATGATTTTTTAGTTTTGAGTTGTGTAGTGAAAATTTCAGCTAGAGTTTTATATTTTCTAGCCATGATTATGTTGTTTAACTATCAAATGGTGCTATTAAGCTAGGAAATGGAACTTGTGAAGTGATTACGGGCTTGATTGTGACTTTGTAGAGTTAAAAGTTGCATTTCCAGCATTTGATAGGTTCTGCCCTATTTTTGAAATCAACTTGAACTGCATATTCTTCTATGATAAAGGCCAAATCAGTTCTTACTCAAAAACATGAAAATTGTAGGTATTTGAGTTATCTTTCTACTCACAAAATTTCAACTTAATCAGAGTACTGTATCTTATAAAATGAATAAAATACCCTTGACTGCCCAAATGTCCTATTTAACCGACAGCTTTCTATTTTCTCTGAGATTTCAATTTTTTACCATGAAAAGGCATGATTTGGCTTTGGAGGTCTCCATAATAAATTTAGATCTATCTCTTAGCTTCGAAACTTCATAAAATTTACCTCGATCCGATATACCTAGCTGCAATTATGACCAAAACACCGAAGGATGACAAATTTGCCATTTATAATTTCTTCTTTAAAACTGGTTTCCAGCTTTGATCTTGATGGTTTCATTGTTAGAATTGACTTGTCTTTGAATGATATTAAGCTTAATTGAAGAGCTATCTTGTTAAGATTGCTTATATGTTGAATTTGGGCTGAGTTGGGGAAAGAAATGAAGCCCTAAGTGGTTGGAAAATAGCTAAATACAAAGGGCACGCTGCCCAAATTATCACTCGAGGGTTAGGCGTATGTACTCGCAACTTGCTTGAGGATTTGAGGTCGAATTGAACTTGGATCGTCTAAGGTATTCGAGTTTTCTTTAGTAGAGGTATATAACCTGAAATTTTGCCGAAACTCATGCCCTTGAAAAAAAATAAAAGTAGTGACCCTTGAAAATACGATTTTCTCGATCTTTTATACCAAGTGCGACTTCAAAAGTATGAATCACTTTTTTATCGAAACTAAAAAAGCGAGCATGAATTTTCTCAAGTTTGATAAGTCATATGACTACTACTTAAACAAGTTTCATTTACTTGATTTTCTTGAAATGAAACTCTTATGTTTCGAACCCTAGTGGATTTTAAACTTGTAAATGATATTTTATCGTAGCTTTGGACTCCAACTAAGGAGTTGTACCTGAGCGTGATTTTGACAAGCACTAAGTCTTTGGTGAGTGCTTCCAAATGCATGATTGAACTTGATACTTGATTTAAATACTTGATATTTGATTGGTTTGGTCGGGCAAGAGTGTACTTTATCGCACTTGCTTTAATGTGATATATGCTTGTTTATTTGTTGCAATTGATTTGAGATACTTCTGTATGATACGCGCACTCCCTGGAATTCCAGAAACCTTGTGGCTAGTTACTCGAGTCGAACCGGTAAGGGCTTGGTTTATTGGGTAACGAATCCTGGGTCTCTTGTTTTGTTGTGTGGAGTATTATCTCCTCAACTAATCGGTATGCCAGAGTATTACCACTCATGTTTATTGAGAATTTTGGGCCTGGTAGGGGGTTTGAATGGAGGACGGAGATAGTAGTTAAGTGGTGCTTTACTGGATTAGTTATTTTACTTGAAAGTTGACGGAGTGTCAACTACTACTTGATCAAGCTCTGGTGAAGCAATGGGAATTTGGCTCTTGAGAGCCATCCGTATCCTTATACTTTGAAATGATTATTACTTGTCGTGTTATTATTTCTTTTAAGAACTTTTACACTTGCTCATTTTAAGAGTTCACATTTTACATATGGTCAACTCGCTACTTGGGTTCAATTCTTAACTTGTTATGCTTGCTACTTTGCTACTTTGATACTTGCACTTTTAAATAATAGTCAACTTGGTATTTGGGACCTCACTGACCTTTAACTCACTCTATTTCATTAAATTTATTTTCCTTACAGGGGGTACGAGCAACAGTGTGAGCCGGTACAAACTAGCTAGTTTTTGAATTTTTGACAATTGTACGCGCACTAGTGCTCGATTAGAGTTGAATATATCTGGAACTCAAATCTTTTGTTATACTTGGGAACTATTATTTCATTTACTCTTGAGGTTGTAAACTATTTTATTTGAAATGAGTGAGTGAGTCCTAGCAAGAACTAGCAGGGGGTCTGCTAAATCCTGGGGTATGCCCTAGGGGGATATGGGGTCATTACATTTGCAATGAAAGATTTGAGTCCAACTAGATAGATTCTTAGGATGAAAATCTCTCGGAATAGGCAAAATGGAAAGCTTTGGTTGTTTCAGGATAAGTAGATTGAAAAGGTACTTGATAGATTTAGAGTAAAGCTAAGAAATTCTCTACTCTACTTGCTAGTAACTTTAAACTATATATTAAGCAGTGTCCTACAAATGAGAAATACAAGAAAGAGATGAAAAAGGTCCCTTATGAGTCGGCTATTGGCAATTTGATATATGCTATGATTTACATCAAATCAGATATTACTCATGTAGTTGGAGAAGTCAATCGATATTTTTCCAATCATTGTAAGGAGCATTGGAATGCTATCAAGTGGATTCTCAGGTATCTCAAGAGAACTTTTAAATTGTGTTTATGTTTCGACATTGGTAAGAGAGCATGCTAGTTGGGTACACCGATGCAGACATGACAGGTGATTTCAATAACACAAACACCATATATGGGTACTTGATGATTTTTGCAAGGAGAGCAATGTCATAGTAAAATCCCTTCCAACCTTGTAGTATCTAGTTGCAATCTTTATCAATTAGAAAATATTTATGGTATTGCAACCTCACCTTGGCCCTTACTTCTCTCAAAATATCTTGGTTCAGTGGGAGCTAAGAAAAACCAGCCCTCTACATCCTAGCTTGCCATTACTTGTATTGGTGTAATATGTACAAATCATCGGTAATTGAACAATTGGCTTTATATTGAAGAGAGTATCAATTGCAATAGACAAAGGTCATTGGATGGTGCAATAAGTAGCTAGTCTTTATAAATTGGCAACCAAGTGTTTTATCAGTAGTGGCATTAGAACAGGGCCAATTAGTAAAGGATACACTAAAAATTGGCAGTGATGACTGAACTTATGCAAAGGTGCGTCAATACATGTCCACTCATGTATGTAACCACTAATATGAAATAGGCTGATGTGGTAGTGGAATTTTTTTTTTTTTTTTTGGTTATGTGGAAGACCACAAGCCCTTTACACGGGAACTAAATGGGGGGTTACTACCCTGGCTACATCATTAATCAAAAGTCTCCTAACTATTTCTGCAGTTTCCTCATAATTTTGCATTCCTGGGATGCTTTTCAAGTTGAGTTTGGCCAAGCTATCCACACATGTATTTCCTTCCCTCCAAACATGTTGGATCTTACACTTCCAATGCTTATCCCTCCAGTTTTTTATCTGCTTTGATAAGATTGAAGTGAGGACTATTATTGTTTCCATCTCTTACTAGTAAGAAGCTTGTTAGAGAATTTGATTCAAGGAACAATTTCCAATAGGCTGCTTCTCATGCTTTTTCCAACCCAA